TAATAAGCTGGTAGAAATGCTAAAGAGCACAAGTGTAAAAGATGAACCAGTCAGCAGGACATGGTAAATGACGGAACAGGATAAAATGCAGGCGATCTTATTTTACGATTAAATTGTCACCTTTCTCCTGTCCTACAGGTCTTTTAAAAAGCCACATACACGACATTTTCCTCTCTTATAATCTCAATTTACAGGAGTTTACGCCAGGTGACATTTTGCATTTCCTGCACAAGACTGCCATCTAATGACAATGACTGGTAACTACACAACATGGGAAAATGAATTTTTAAATTGAAGAACTCTGTAGAGTTCCTGCTATGATCTGAGATTTGCAGATGCGATTATGGGCAAAATTTAATTCTTACTAAAATTCTAGTGAGAAACAAAGGCATTACTCATAATTATCAATTAAATGTAAGAAAACAAATATAACTTCTATAGCATTGACTTTCTACCATAATAATCCACCTAATAGACCTATCAAGTCTATGTAATTGTTATAGTTTTGATCTGGAATGTCCCCCTGAAGTCCCCTGTATGCAGAGGTGGTGCTCTTGGAAGGCAGGCTTTTGGATCATGAGGGTGTTATACTCAGGAGTGTATTAATCCCGATGAGCTCAGGGATGAACGTGCTGTAAGGTGAGACCTGGTTGGAGGTGGGTCACCAGGGGCATCACGTGCCCAGGTGTGTACTTTTCCCTGGCTCTTCCCTTCTCTTCCAGCTTCCCCGATGCCATGGGTTGAGCACTCTGCTCTGCTGTGCTATCTCTGTCTGCAAACCAGTGGAGCACACTGACCCCTGAGCCAAAGGAAACTTTCCCTTTAAGTTGCAAGTGTCAGGTATTTCATCCAAACAGCTGGAAGCCAGCTGACACAGTGGTAGGTATATTATCTTCATTTACAGATTTTAAACATTGAGGCAGAGAGGCTAAGTGACTCTCTCTACATCACACAGCAACAGTTTGACTTGGAAATCTCTGCTTTGAGCTACCCCCAAATGTAAAGTGTAATAAATGCAAGCAAGATAAATACATAACTGGAAAACTTTCTTTACTCACACATTCATCTGCTTGCTAATTCACCACATATATATTATGTACGATGTGCCAGATCCTATTTTTGAACTGTGAATAAAGTAGCAAACATGATAAAGACCTCATGGATCTTATTATCATAAACATGTACAGACCTCAATATATATTAACATATAATTTCTATAATTCCAAGAAATAAACAAGGCAGAGTAAGTGATATAATTTCTATAATTCCAAGAAATAAACAAGGCAGAGTAAGTGACTAGTGATGACAGATGCAAAAAGGCACCATTCCCACAGTAGGCATGGATGTCATCTCAACAAAGGAATATCTGAATAAAGATGAAGTAAATGTGACAGCATCTTGAAACAGAATTTTAGAAAGACGGAAAAAGCAAAAGGCGTTAGGTGGGAGTCTACATTTTTATTTGTTCCTCACCCCTGTGGCAGCCAGAATGACTAAAAAGTATTTAGGAAGTAGAATTTGAGATGTATTACCATAAGTGTGATTGCAAACCAACTAAAGGTTTCTAATGGGGAAATAACATCATGAAATTTCTGTTCATTATGTAATTATGAGGAAAGTGCACCATACAGTATCCAAAATTAAAATAAAAGAACTGACCAGGTAGGGCTGGGGATTTAGCTCAGCGGCACACAGCCTGCCTGGCAAGCACAACGTTGTGAGTTCGATTCCTGGTACCGGAGAAAAACCAAAAAAAAAAAAAAAAAAGAACTGACCAGGAGCCTACTGCAACATTAGGTTAAAAAGTACTCTAATAGTTAATAAAATTTATAAAGAATTACAAGGAAAACTGTGTCATAAGAAAATATATCGGTTATCAAAGCAAAGGCCACATTTAGATTAGGATCAAGAAAATCACCACCAAGGGAGTGTCATGTGCAGTATATCAGAGTATACAGAGACAAGAATATACTTTCCTATAGTACAAGGCGAACAAAAGGGTAAAACATGAACCAGAGCCAATGAAGGAGCTCAAAGAATTAGGTTTTTTGTCTTTTTTCAACATGCTTTCTTGCACAGCTTACAGGAGAATGATACAACAGCTCAGTTACACGCTAGGTTCAACCTAAAGTGATACTTAAAGCCAGGTGTGGTGGCATATACCTGTAATCCTAGCACTTAGGAGGTTGAGGCAGGAGTTCACTGAGAGTTCACGGCCAGCCTGAACTGCATAGTGAAACCCTGTCTGAAAAAGACAATGGATACATACACACATACACACATACATACCTTATGTCATGTTAATGTCTTGAAGATGTGTATGGAAATTATTAATAAATCTGCTTAAAGACCACCAGACTAGACATATTCATAGTCTTACGAAGTTAGGTTCAGGGCATTTCACCAAAATAAAGAAAAGAAAAGTCAGTGTTCTTATTGGCTTGGAAGCAGGGTAAGACTTAAATAAAATTTAAATAAACAGTTCTTTGAAAAGCAAGGTTGTGCTGGCGTCAGGTCTAGACCGAGAAGCAGGTTCAGGGATCTGTTTTCTTGGGAACTATAAAGTTAAGATGAATGTGGAAACCTCCTTTTGCAAACACAGTCTCTAATGCTTTGCCCGGGTAAGAAAATGAAGCTGCCTCTGCGTCACAATGTCCACGCAGTTTAGCTCCCCAGGCAAACGGGGACATAACGTTCCCATCTCACAAACATGATTTCAAAAATAAAGTTTCCAATACTTTACGACTTTAGAGAACAGATTTTTAGTACTGTCACTGAAGTAACAGAAGCTTTAAAACGGTCTTACACCATTGTAGCTTGTAATATATTTGATTCATTACATTGTAATTTTGAAACCTTGGTTTTGGTGTAAAGCAGGAACATGCCTACCTTAGAGATGATTAAGAAAGCAGAGTGACTGGGCTGGGGATTTAGCTCAACAGCAAAGCGCCTGCCTGGCAAGCGCAAGGTCATGAGTTCAGTTCCCGGTACCGGAGGAAAAAAAAAAAAGAAAGCAGAGTGACTTATAAAGTTAAATTGAGGACCACTGTCATTTGGTTAGTCTGCTTGTAAGCTAGTGCTGAAAGCTTGACTTCTCCTGGAAAGCAATTCCAAGCTCTCTTGGAAAGTAAACTTCAAGCAATTTACTTGAAAGTATTTCAACAAATTACCAAAGACGAGAGGGAAGGTCACTCTACATAACAGGGCCTTATCCAAGAGGTTTATTTGCTATGATTAATGACCCAAGAGGGTAGAAATAGGAATTAAAGAGTAATTGTAAGTGGTCATTCAGAAAATAGATCACTGATATGATTAGACTATTTGACATAGACTCTTTGGGCCCCTCTAAAGAGCCCTTAAGTGCCTTGTATTTCTAGCTGCTATCAATAGCCTGGAGAGAACTCCCTGCTTTCCTAGGAGAATGCTGAAGCAGGAAGAGGTGCAGGTGAAGGAACAGGGAAAGAAGGCTATGGCACCTTCCCCAGTACAGGTTCCCAGGGCTGAGAGAATGATCCTGAAAGTGACATTAGTATTTGACATTGGGCTGGAGGTTAATCCTAAGTAGTTAATTGTTGAAACATCAAAATGAATAGGAAAGCTAAGGGATTTGGCAGAGAAGGGAGATCCAATAAAGCATGCTTGAGGCTATAAAATAAAGACCCACTTATGTATGTATATATTTATTTTTGATCGTTCCATTAGGTTCAACTAATTCAATCACTGGTTAGATTAGTTACACATGGATGCTTTTATTGCTGGACCTAAAAGCATTTTATCTGAATAAATACTACGATTTACTTGTCCAAAAACTAATGACAAAAATTTACTATCCTATGTATACAACTTTAGATTTTTTGGCTATATAAAATGTTTTTCAGTCTCTTATGGTTTGTGTCTACATGTCCCCCTAAAGCCTTTATGCAATCCTAGCTGGGGCTTTTTCAGAGGTGGCTGAATCAAGAGTGTGTGACGCTGGGATTAAGGGTGTCTGATTACTAAATCAGTCCACGGATTGTCTGGCACCACCCTAATGCCGGTAGCCTAGATTGAGTATAGAAGGGGCAGAGAGAGGCTGCGAAGTCCCCCTGGCTTGCTTTGCCACCTTCTGCCTGCCATGAACTGTTTCCCCTCTCTGGTGCTTGTCTGCCACACCACCCTGCCTTCCAGCCAGCCCGTTATGGACTGAAACCTCTGCAAACTGTGAGCCAAATAAACCCTTCCCCCTTGACTGTGGGTATCGAGCATTTTGTTTCAGCAGTGACAGAAAAGTAACTAAGATATTAGTACAAAAGTAACTAAGACATTACTACAAAAGTAACTAAGACTAGAACCATTTATTGTCTGACAGTTGAATACTAAAATCTTCTTTGTGTATGAGAACTGCCATTTTGCTTACTACTAGGGAGGCTGATTATCTTATATATCAGTGGACCATCCAGAATTCCCTTCTGGAAAATTACATGTTTTTATCAGTAACATAGTGTCCCTATTGGCTTCTTTTGTACAAAATGTTTTGGTGACATCTATATTTTCATATACTTTAGCATTTTTCTATAATTTATACTCTGTGTAACAGGAGGGAATACAGCTTTATTTATCCTACAGAAAGATTTATTCTAGAACCATTTATTGCCTGAAGCATTTCTCTGAATGCTGCTTTCCATTTTTTGACTGATTAATAAATATTTAAATGTGTAAGTTTATATGCAGGTAAACAGCCACCTAGATTGCACATTGTAAAAACTGTATATGATAACCATATGAATTTCTTATTTATATAGATGGAGTCAAGGAAATATTTTAGAACATGAATATTTTTATGATGTTATTTCCCTATCTTCTATGGATTCCATGACAAAGTAGCTGATATAAACATTCAAATATGTGGTGGATTACCCCTGCAATAGCCGAAAGTTCACGTAAATTATACCTGTGTTCACTTGTTTTTTAAAGGTATTTTTGTATAATCATCTATTAAAAGAAACAGAGTAGTATTGTGATAATTTTGAATAGAGATTTTTTATTTTTAATTTGAGATTTTTATTTTTATACATATGACAAGAGTTTTCATCAAGAATATTGAGTTAAATAGTACAAGTTTACATTTATGAGGAATGTTTAAAAACTCAACTAAAAAATCCACTTCTTGCTGTGACCCACAATCCCAATATCTACAGTGCAGAGGAGATGGGAGAACGGGTCCAAAACAAGTCTGTGTGGAGATTGAATGTGAAATCTAAGTCATTTCTTTTGAGACAGCTGTATTTTGAATAGAAGTCTTTAGCCTGGCATCTTAACGTTGTCATACACATCAATGACTATTATCCCTAACTGCCAACACAACGTATTTTACTTTCCTGTGAATAACATTTTACATGTTTTAACATTCCACAACCAACTAGTTTTTCCACTGTAGTTCTCCAAGCCCTTCCAGAAATAAGCCTCAGGGGGCCGGGGATAAGCGTTCAGCGGCGTACGCGCCTGCCTGGCAAGTGCAAGGTCCTCAGTTCGACTGCCAGTACCAAAAAAAAGGAAAGAAAGAAATAAGCTTCAGCAGTTATTTTGGCTTCATGTGAATAAACGAGTAAACGAATTAATGAATAAATAAGTAAGTAAATAAATACTTGTGGGTAGAAAGAAAGACACAATAGAAATGTCCAAACAGGAACATACACATGAGGAAGAATGAAGAGGCAAATCAAAAGAAAAGCTAGGCAAAATATACTATTCCTGCATGAAAAAGCCCTCCCTGACAGAAAAAGGACCTGATAGAGATGCCTATGAATCCAGGAAAACCACATGAACAGAGACTCCACCAAAAGAGCCTGCAAGTAAGTCTGAATGTCCATCCACAGATGACTGAATACAGGGCATACTCTGCCATAAATAAGGTTAAACTTCAGTCATTCGTAGGAAAATGGATGCACCTTGAGACCATAATTTTAAGTGAAATCAAACAGACTAGAGCTTAAACATAAAGTAATTTCTCTTACACAAGAAATCCAACATATAAATAAACTATGGAGTAAAATAAAACATAACAGGAAACAGCTGGGCGTGCTGGCGCATGTACTAATAAAACTTTTTTAAAAAGAATCAGCAATGGGTCACTGAAATAAGAAATTCCCAACCAGCCTAGTTTTCCCTCCTCCTAACCTTCAACAAAGAAAATCAGATGAAAGGTAGTTTGACACACAGTTCTCAAACCATGCGCTGAGGTGTCCTAAATGTCTCAGTCACCTCACAGGGGTGCTATTGAGCATCTGAAAAATTTGAGGAAAATATAACAATATTCATTATCAGATGCTCCATGAACTACCAGCTAGAAACGTTTCTCACTTTCAACATTAGATCCTGTTAAGTTCCTTCTGAGAATATCGTGTCTTTGTACGGCTGTTTTAACAGTTCCAGCCACAAAGACTGAAGACCTGAGCCTGGTGTGGTAGTGCACGCATATTATCCTATCATCTGGGGAGGCTGAGGGAGGAGAGGAACAGTTTGATCCCAACTGGGGGAAACTCAGTGAGACTCCATCGCAACATTAAAAAAAAAGTGAAAGGGCTGGAGATGTAGCTCAGTGTGAAGACCTGGGTTCAATTCTCAGTACTGCAAAAAAGCAAACAAAAAAGCGGGCAAAGAGGGCTTCTCAAAGCTCACACTAGCAAATCACAGTAGCATCAAATTAGTTCAATGTCCTTAAACTCTATTTGATGTTTCCTGCAGCATTTGCTAACCACAGGGAGCAGTGGTGAACATTAAAGTGAATCCCTTCATACACTCATTCAGTTGAAGAGATATTTATACAATGTCTACACTATGCCAAGCACTGTTTTAAACATAAGGGAAACAGGATGGGAGGTGATCAGGATGTGCTATCTTTCACACCTGTGATCACCGCTGCCCGGCTGGCTTGTCAGGAACTATATTTATTACTCCTCTCTCACAGATCCAAATTTAAGGGTACACACACAGCTATGCTCCCCGGAGAGAATCTCCAAATAAGCCCTTGAAGAATATAAGTAAAAATCTGTAAAACATGGTGTTTAAAATAACATACCTCCTCCAGTTCAGCTTACCTCACTATTCTATTTTTTATTTATGTTTTAGTGTTATCTTTAGTATTAGAATCTGAGCACTAAAAAAGGATAAACTGCTTTTCCTGTTTTTGAATTTCTAAACTTTGGCAAGCTCATATCAATAATGGATTCCCTTCACTCTTTCTACATGAGCTCTTGTTCACTGGCTATACACACGATGCACGTTAATGTCATTTATGTACGTGTGTATATACAGGTTGCCACTTATACATTCAACTGATTCAACTGCTACTCGAAACTGGGCTGTGCAACACATACTTGAAACTTCATATGCCAACCACACAGGACAATCCCTAACCAGCTACGCTTTAGTCTGTTTTGTGCTCAATGAATGGCATCACCGCCTACAAAGACGGCATAATCTTGGGCCTCAAGCCAAAAATCCAAGAATTTTGATTATCCTTGATTACTGCCATCTTCAACTTCTACTTCCACAACACCTCTGATCCAGCCCCTTCTCTTCATGTCCATGTTTATCAAACTACTTCAGGCAGTTGTTGTATTTTCTCGGGCTTCTATGGTAACCAGACTAACTGGCTTTCCTGCGTCTACTTTATTTTTCACATTGAAATCAAACTGAAATGTTCATAATTAAAATTTAATCACTCTCCCCCCAACACACACTACTATTAAAAAATGCCAGTTTCCAATTATTCTTCAGATAATCAGAGTCCCTGACAAACCTGGAAGACTCACATGACCTGTCTCTGGTTATGCAGTGTTTTTCAGTATTTTCCTTCCCAAATCAAGGCTTCATGACAGCAGAACTTTGAGGTACATTCTTCAAACCTAATTGTAAATAAAAAGATTAGTAAGTGTCACCCTGCTTCACAGAACTACAGCTACTAAGGCATAAATTTTAAATTTCTGACCGTCTTGACATTAACTCTGCCTCAATGCTTCCAGAAAGTAGGCAAAATAGTGGGTCAGAGTATAGACACACCTTAAGTCAGAATAATACTCTTTCATGTACTAGTTTAGTGATGTGACCAAATCTCTCTGTATATCAGTGTCTTCCACTATGAAACAGGAAGCATGCCTACACCATGTTCCTGTGTGCGCGCGCGCGTGTGTGTGTGTGAGTGTGTGAGTGTGTGAGATTCTCTTCCTAGAGGCTGTCACTTCTGTGTCAAAACCTGCAGGCGCCTGTCAGGCTCTTCTACGTCTCCTAATTGAAAGAATCAAAGCTGTCTCTATTTTTGTTCCTTACATTGAGTTTTCCTTCCTACAGTGCTGGTTAGACAGAATTTATTTCTCCCCTACATACCCACCCTGGTAGTGGCCCTTTTTTTGGTATTTTTATTTTGAGAGGTCTCACTGAGCTGCGCAGTCTGGGTTCGAATTTGCGAGTCTCCTGCTTCAGCCTCCCAAAAATGTTGGGGGTGTAGGCCTGAGTCACCACGTCAACTTGATCCTTGGGTTTTACAGCCCAGATTGTAGGAACCGACCCTGACCTCCAGCGCTGTCTACGACGCCTCAGCCAGGAGCGCTCACTTCCAGCAGGCGGCGTTAGGCGCCCGGGGCGAGCGTCCGCACATGCGCAGTCCTGAGCCCTTGCATCGGGGCGTAGCGCCTTTCCCTAAGGGGCTAGGCTTCATCGTTCTCTTTACTCTCAACTTCTCTCCTCGCGTCTCTCTGGACCCACTTTCGTTTCTAATACTTCCGCCAGTTACCTGGAACGTACACCTCCCCCCTGACCCTGCCGCCGCGGCTCCACTTGGCGTCCGAGGAGCCTCGGCGGCGGGCCGCCCAGCAGGGGCACCGCCCCTCGGTGGCGCGTCTCGCGAGGCCCCGCCTCTCGCGGTATTTCCGTGCTCCCAGGCTCCTTTGCGCGTGACGCAGGCGGCCGGGGGTGAAGTCACTTCTGGAGCTCCGCTTCGCCGTCCCGCCGTCCGCACCGGTCTGCCCAGCTGCCGTGTGGCTGCGCGACCGCGCAGGATGACGGCCCCCGAGCAGCTGCTGCCGCTCCCCAGGGGCGGCCCGAGCTCCACTTCGCTCTCTCCGCCCCGGGGGGACCGAACCCTGCTGATCCGGCATCTGCCGGCCGAGCTGAGCGCCGAGGAGAAGGAGGACTTGCTGAAGTACTTCGGGGCGCAGGCCGTGCGCGTGCTGTCGGACAAGGGGCGCCTGGTGAGGCCGCGGGGGCGCGCGGGTGCTGGGCGCGGCGGCC